TATATATATATATATATATATATATATATATATACACATATATACATATATATATATATATATATATATATATATATATATATATATATATATATATATATATATATATACACATATATACATATATATATATATATACATATATATATATATATATATATATATATATATATATATATATATATATATATATATATATTTATATATATGTATATATATATATATACATATACATATATATATATATATATATATATATATATATATATATATATACATATACATATATATATATATATATATATATATATATATATATATATGTATATATATATATATATACATATATATATATACATATGTATATATATATATATATATATATATATATATATATATATATATATATATATATATATATATATATATATATATACACACTCATATAAATACATACATATATGCGTATTATATATATATATATATTTATATGATATCATTGGTTCGATCGATCTGCCCAAGCCACGACTTCCTCGGTCAGGCAATACGGCCAGGTGGCCTGGCAGCGGGGGTCGTGATATCTCTCGACAAGAGTATTTAGAGAAGCTCTAAACTCTCTTGATGTTCTCACCGCAAGCATGTACCTACTGACCGGGATCTCCTAGCAGGCCCCCAAAGTTCTGGATCTTGGTCTTGGTTCAAGAGACCTCTAGTCCCAGGAGCTTCGCTTCATTACTAAATGCATCAAGAGCCAACACTAGGGTTTCCAGAAATTCAGATAGAATAGCAACATCATCAGCAAAGTCAAAGTCGGTAACCTTGATATTGCCCAGAGTTGCTCCACAGTGACTCTGGACAGTAGCTCTACCCAGTATCCAGTCCACGCAAGTGTTGAAAAGTGTTGCTGCAAGAACACAGCCTGGCCTCACTCTTCAATTAACTGGGAAGAAGCTCGACAGGCCCCCACCACACTTTACAGGACTTTCAGTACCAGTATACAGGCATGTTCCAATCCAATAATCCTTGTTGGAATTCCTCTTAGTCTCAGAATCTCCCAGAGTGATTCGCAATGCACCGTATCAAACGCCTTCTTGAGGTCGATGTAAACTGCAAGCAGCCCATGCCCGAACTCATGTCGGCGCTCTACAATGACTCAAAGCGCCAGGATACAGTCTATATGGATTCACCAGGAGTGAATCCATATTGCTCCGGCCTTTGGTGCCTCAACAGGTGGTCTCTGATACGTCTAACAAGGATGTGAGCGAAAACCTTGCCCGGTATACTGAACAGTGATTGCTGCAGTGTCACCAATCCCCTTTCCCCTTACAGAGAGGGATGAACACACCGCTCAGCAGGTCAGGGGGGAATGGTATCAGTCTACCAGATGGCAGACAGGACAGCATGCAAGCCCCTTGCCATAGGTTCTCCACCAGCCTTTAACAGTTCAGCTAGGATGCTGCAGATATCCGCTGCTTTACCACTCTTTAGCTTGGAGATCACCTCTCTGTCTTCAGTTAGGGTGGATCCTCGCTGATGGGTGGGTCTGGAAAAGGAATCTCAACACTACCTGCATCCAAGTTAATTGTTGGTGGGTCAACCTGGTAACTGCTCAAAATACTCAACGCACCCGCACCCCAACAGGATTTAAGATTATTTGGCCACTTGCTAAACAAACTGCAGTTGTCCGCGAGGGCGGCTTGGAGTTCAGCTTTCTCAGGGCTTGGTAGGAGGGGCGAAGGTCATTTACTAGTTAATGGCTTTCGACCCCCTCTGCAAGATTCCTGATAAACTGCTCCATGTCCTTTCTCAGCAATGACCTAGTCTCGCGCACCTGGGAAATATGAAAGTATATATATATATATATATATATATATATATATATATATATATATATATATATATATATATATATATATATATATATATATATATGCATACACACACATACATACATAAATACACACGCTCACACACACACATATATGAATATATATATATATATATATATATATATATATATATATATATATATATATATATATATATATATATGTGAGTGTATGTGTGTGTGTGTGTGTGTGTGTGTGTTCACACTATTTGCCCTAAATGTGGTAACACTGGCAGGAGGACAGGGCCTTCTACTATTGCCCTGAATTCCAGTTCATACCCGGGGAAAGATACATAGACACATAACAGCATCCGAGAAGTGGCTAACGCGGTCTAGCAGACAGAGAGAACAGAGGCATCCTTGCTTACAGGTGGCTGAGGGAAAAGCAATTATCAGTAATCCCGTGCAGGATGGCGGGTTTATGAAAGAGAATAGGGGTGAGGGGGCAGCCCGGCGTCGCCAACAATCTTCCCAAAGTAAGAGCTGATTCTTTATTTTTGTTCATAATCGTGTATAACTGGACACTAATTCCAATGGTTTTGCTTGTCGTATAAATAGCCTCCTCATTCACCCTCTGAAGTTCACGGCCAGCATGGGTTCTAACAAGGGGACGATGAGTGCTGTAGCCTGACTACAGCTGGAAAATGAGATGGTATATTGCTATCTGCGGGGAATGCACAAGTACATAAATCAACTGGGCTTGATTCTCCTTCTACAGAGACTTTGCTACTCTATAGGATAACTTCCTAGGGAGGAATGAGCAGACGATAACAACACTTTTAATGGGTTTCATCTAATTGTGTGTCTGCCGTTTTGGGGCATCCTATGACTTAGAGGCCACAGTTTCAGATGAGGGCGAAGCTCAGAGCCCAGGACCCAGGACCACGTCAATGGGGCTTCCACTATTAGCAAGTCATCTGGTCTGTGAGTTCCACTTTTTTCTAGTTCTAGCTGAGCAGTGGAACCCAGGTGCAGAGCCTTGATTCCTGTCCGCTTATGCCATTCGTTTGATTGTCACACAGGGTAGGATGCACAAGTGTGTGACCAGCCGTGCTTTTCTTGCGTTATCTCCTCTTATTTCACACTTTTCTCTATCTCTTTATTCTCTCTCTTGCTCGAGCGTTGAGAGATATTCATGACAACCTGCATATGCATCAAAGTGCCAATGCTGGTGTATGTACATGCATGAACGGAGCAAGAAAGGGTGAGTGAGTGAGAGAAGGAGAGAGGAGAGAGAGAGGGAGGAAGAGGGAGAGGGAGAAAGAGGAAGATAGAGGAAGATAGAGATAGATAGAGAGAGAGGGATATGGAGAGGGATAGATAGGAAGGAAGAGAAGGAGAGAAGAAGAGGGAGAGAGGTATAAGGAGAGGGAGAGATAGGAAGAGAAGGAGAGAAGAAGAGAGAGGAAAGAGAGGAAGAGAGAGAGAAGGAGAGAGGAAGAGATAGGAAGAGAAGGAGAGAGGAAGAGAGAGAGGAGAGAGGAAGAGAGAGAGAAGGAGAGAGGAAGAGAAAAAGAAAGAGAGAGGAAGAGAGAGAGAAGGAGAGAGGAAGAGAGAGAGGAGAGAGGAAAAGAGAGAGAAGGAGAAAGGAAAAGAGAGGAGAGGAGAGAGGGGGGGGAGGGGGAGAAAGAGAGAGATAGGGGGGAAGAGAGAGAGAGAGAGAAAGGAAAAGAGAGGAGAGGAGAGAGGGGGGGGAGGGGGAGAAAGAGAGAGACAGGGGGGAGAGGGGGGGAAGAGAGAGAGAGAGAGAGAGAGAGAGAGAGAGAGAGAGAGAGAGAGAGAGAGAGAGAGAGAGAGAGAGAGAGAGAGAGAGAGAGAAAGATATATATATATATATATATATATATATATATATATATATATATATATATATATAGAGAGAGAGAGAGAGAGAGAGAGAGAGATAGAGAGAGAGAGATAGAGAGAGAGAGGGGGGGAAGAGAGAGAGAGAGAAAGAAGGGAGGAGGAGGAAGAGAGAGAGAGAGAGATGGGGGCGGGGGAGGGGGGGTTGATAACTTTAACACACCGTTTCATTGTAACTTACCTGATAAGATAACTCCTCTAGAAATTATTAATCTCAATATTCCCATCCATCTCAACCTATACCTATAATATTATCAATAAAAAAACACCGACAAAACCAATGAACTACCTTATTTATAAATATCATTCATAAAATTAATACCAAAGCACGTGTTTTCTTGCACATAATATATAGTCTCTCAAGCCTGAACGTATTTACAGACTGGCAACCGTTCCTCGTCTACAAGGTCATGCCTTCCCAGTAATAATAGCCAGTAGTGTTTGTCAACGACAGAGTTTCTTGAGCACCGCTGGCTACCAAATATCAGCGAGAGAGAGAGTGGCCTTAGAGCAGGTATATGAAAAGTCCTAGCTTGAGTTTATTACTGAAGGTAGATGTGTGACCCCCAAGAGACCCCCGTATCCCCGGGGTCGAGGACGAGGTGGTGGAGCTGGACCCTGCTGGGGACAGAGGTCTTGCTGTGTGTTGTTTACAGTGCCTGTGTTAATCGCGTGATGGGGTTTAACTAAATCCGTTCTTTATTCGTGTCCGAGGTATGCTGCGTAGATGAATCGTGTAATCTTTCACGGAAATGTATTTCGTGTGTGGGCTAATATGTGCTGAGACGGAGATTATAGATAATCGAAACGTCACATTATCTTACTAGTTTATATATCTTATTGCAAGAGCATTCACTTTGTATTCATTTACTTAAGATAAAGAGATTATAGTAACTGAAGTCCGTCTGTTTTTGCCAAACTTATGAAAAGCAGGAGCAGTACATATTTGTTTTCTTTACTCATTTTCTTTATGAAGAAAATTAGTTATGTTTACAAAAAAATATTCTATTAATATCAGTATTTAAGTCTGTTAGCCATACAATTTAAGCAATAATTTAACAAGTGGAGACATCTCACCAGCTATGAAGTGGCTATATGCATTCAACTACAATTAAGTTACAAAAATTTATTTTGTTTGCAACAGAGAGCAAGGGGGATACGTTCACCGCCTTCGCCCAGTGTAAAGACACATCTACGGAATCTCGAATCCACAACCGACTGATTCAGCAACTAATCAACTCCCACAACAATGCCAAAGACAGTCATTGCCGCCCTGCAGATCGGGACAAGCCCTGACGGTTCTGCAGCCACCGTTGAAAACATTCTCAAGTATGAACCTGAGATCCTAGAGACTGGCTGCAAGTTGTTGGTCTTACCCGAAGCCCTACTGGGAGGATACCCCAAAGAGTTCTTCTTTCGGCACGAGGCTGGGCTTCAGGACGCCTGAGGGGCAGAGACGAATTCCTCAAGTATTGGAAGCAGGCGGTGACATCCCGGGCCCCGAAGTGGACTCTCTCTGCAAGCTGGCGAGGAGAGTGAAGACCTTCATCGTCGTGGGCGTCGTCGAACGGGGCGGCTCCACGCTGTACTGCACCGCCCTCTTCATCTCGGACCAGGGTGAGGTCGTCGCGAAGCACCGGAAAGTGCTTCCGACGGCCAGCGAGCGGTTGATCTGGGGCCGCGGCGACGGCTCCACTTTGCCCCTCGTCAAGACACCCGCCGGTCTCGCTGGGGCTGCCATCTGCTGGGAGAACTACATGCCCCTCCTGCGCTACGCCATGTACGCCAAGGGTATTCAGATCTGGTGCGCGCCCACGGTGGACGAAAGGGACATCTGGCAAACGAGCATGAAGCACATATCCTACGAAGGACGCACGTTCCTGGTGAGCGCATGCCAGTACCAGCCTCCCCCCACGGAAGAGATGTGTGCAGCTTTGGGGCTGCCGGAGGGTAAGCCTATAATCCGAGGCGGGTCCGTCATTTACTCGCCGATGGGAGAGGCGTTGGCCGGCCCTGTGTACGACAGGGAGGCGCTGCTAAAAGCCGAGATCGACCTGGACGACATCATTCGAGCTCGCTACGACATGGACGTCGTTGGCCACTACGCTCGGCCTGACATCTTCCAGCTGGTGGTGGACGAGAAGCCCAAGAACTCCATGGACTGCCAGTGACGTCACGGATTGCGGTCGGGGTTAAGGTGATTCCCATATAAAGAATTTTGTCCTTTTTAGCATTATTCTTATTATCATAAGTAATATCAGGCTATCCGTATTATTTTGTTATCATCATTATTACTGCTGCTATAATATTAATCATTATTATGATAAATATTATTATCAGCAGCAGCAGCAGTATTAACGTTGTTTTTATTATAGTAATTATTATTCCTATCATTATCTTCAAGAACACCATAATTTTCATCACTGTCATCGATAATAGTAATAGTATTACCAGTTTCGCTGTTAAAACTGCATATTAAAAAAATGGTCAGTTTCACCATTTCGCCGAATGTTGAAACACGCATTATGTTCGAATTCTATTTACAAAGCCATCTGCCTGGCTATTTCATCTTCCTAAATCTCACCCATTCTAAACAAAAGGGATTTCTGTGTAAGATGTGTTAAAGTCTTTAATGTTTATCAATAAATGTAACAGTAAATAGTCAATATACGCAAACCAGTTTCATTTGTAGATGCATTGCCTAAAATGCTTAAAGAATCCAAATTATGAACTGTATACAAAACATTTAATGAATAAAAAAAAAAAAAAAAGATTCCACCCAAGGACAAATTAGTCCTACTATATTTTTCTTCCCCCATATGTTGTGACACTACCGCATACGTGTAAAAATATATAATTTGCATATAACCCATCTCTTCTATAACTGGTCTGTTAAAGCGGCTTGACACGTCTTGGCAACCTCTCTAAGACTTACTTTAGCATGTTCCTGTGTTATATTTCACACATAACTGCTTTCTTCAGTAGGATCCATACATTCTCTTTATTATCTATATTTGGTCAATTCCTAGGCTATTTTATGGAACAGATTTTTGTGGTTTTCAAATTATTAACAGAACCCACTGTCCGGCAAGGCGCCAAATCCTGTTAAAAATAAGACCACACCATAAATTTGATTCTAATTTCATCCACAATACTTCCTTGCATAAACATGATGCCAATGACTATATATAAGTCCCTTGTACACTGCATCAATAGGTACACAAAATTATGATCTTTTATTGAAAATAATCACTAGACAAATGCCTCATCACTAGAATATGCCTCTTTTTTTTCTCAAAGTGCTCTACTTACTATTTTGCAGGTATGTGTTGCATTTATCAGAAACCAGTGCTTATTGAAAGAGTGTGATGAAGTAATAAATATGGAAAAAATCAACATATTTCATAGTATCAGTATTAACACTTTTTTCACAAATAGAATGTGTATTAACAGATTCATACTGACCTAAAACAAACCATTATAACCATTTACAAAACTTTCCAAATGCTGAAAATACACATGCTAAGCAATCACCTTATAAAAAGCCTCCCTTCCGACTGCCCAGTTAACCGGAAACAAATCACTTTACATAGGCCTATATCATATGTCGCTAGTTTTTTTTTTTCAAATATGAGGAACCTTTATCACGCGTTATTCAGTTATCTAGAAAAAAAAATATCCTCTCAGGGATAGTAAACTCATTTATTCTTCAGCAGTGGTTCCCACCGCTGGGCCGCAAAGCCTTGGGGAATGTGGAAGGTTAGGCCAATATGCTAGGCGTTTGAGAGTTCATATCAAGAAAATACTATGAAGTCTTATTTTAAACGCATACCGTATTAGAACTAAAACTTATATATATATATATATATATATATATATATATATATATATATATATATATATATTGCATGTATATACATATATATATGCATGTATATACATATATAAATGCATAAATATACATGTATATATACATATATACATAATTATACATATATGTATATCTATACATATATGTGTGTGTGTGTGTGTGTGTGTGTGTGTGTGGTGTGTGTGTGTGTGTGGTGTGTGTGTGTGTGTGTGTGCGCGCGCATTTTGTATAAAAAAAGATCCTATGATGCCATGTCTGTGGGGAAAGAAATTACGAGATAAATCTCATATACATATTTACACACACACACACACACACACACACACACACACACACACACAGCACACATATATATATATATATATATATATATATATATGCGTGTGTGTGTGTGGTGTGTGTGTGTGTGTGTGTGTGTGTGTGTGTGTGTGTGTGTGTGTGGTGTGTGTGGTGTGTGGTGCGCGGCGCATTTGTATAAAAAAGATCCTATGATGCCATGTCTTGGGGAAAGAAATTACGAGATAAATCTCATATACATATTTACACACACACACACACACACACACACACACACACACACATATATATATATATATATATATATATTATATATATATATATATATATGCGTGTGTGTGTGTGTGTGTGTGTGTGTGTGTGTGTGGTGTGTGTGTGTGTGTGTGTGTGTGTGTGTGTGTGTGGGTGTGTGTGTTTGTGTGTGTGTGTGTTATTCTTTTATCTTAGCACAATATGTAGTTCGAAAAATTCCGGATGTGTCGGATATCTGAGAAAGGGGTCGCGAATGCAAAATGAAATTAGAAATCTCCAAGGGTTAATGCATAATGCAAAAAAAAAATGAGTTACCGAATAAGATAAGTGGACAGAAGAAGGGGGCAATGAAGAGAAGGAAAAGGAAAAAAGAAGAAGAAAAGACCATTGCAAAATTAGGGCCGAGATCCACGGTAGGGCTTGACACCCCCCCCCCCCCCGACGACAACAACGAACAAGGGATTGATGGGGAACATGTCATTCTTCTCAGATAAAAGATACGTGGACCAGATAAGATAACTAAAGCAAGGGATATAGAGATTTTTTTTCATTATCGATACAATAAGATTAGCCGTCTTTTCCGCCGATAAGAAGGCCTTATTAATCGATAAATTCAATACCAGATTCTTCTTCACCCAGTCCAGTTGCTTTATCCAGAATATCTGATGATGAGTGATATTTTTCAACATGCCCACCCGGATCTAATGAAAACCATTTACACATTACAGCCCTGTTGTAATCACTGTGTATTATGTTATTTATATGCATATTGTCGTGGCGCGCAGAGGGGGGGGGAGCAGGAGCGGGGGTGGGTGGGTCATGTCAAGGAAAAAAAATATTGATTTTGAAATCTAATTTAAATCATAGTGTTTGTTTACGTTTCATCTGTGTTAACAAATATTCAAATTATCTCCCTTCTCATAATATTTACCACTACTAGGTCTTATTAATTGAGTCTCTGAGGCGTATAATCAACAGTTGGGCATCACATCACCATTACTCTCTTAATCTGTGTGGTGTGTGTGTGTGTGTGTGTGTGTGTGGTGTGTGTTGTGTGTGTGTGTGTGTGTGTGTGTGTTGTGTGTGTGTGTGTTGTGTGTGTGCGTGCGTGTGGTGCGCGCGTGCCTGCCTCACGAGTGTGTGTGCACGATTATTTCATGAGTTTGGCCAAATGAAAATTCTTATTCTACGTGTTTGCTTAATGCACATTGATGAAAGGACATGTATAAGGAAATAAACAGCACGAAAAAAAAAATATAAGGCAACTAAGTTACCTTTTTTCCTCCAAATTTTGTCTTTCAAATCAATCGTCTCCACCTGTGGCGTAGGGGAAGGCGTATAACGAACCGTACCTCAAGTGTCATAGTAACAACTAACTCAAAACAATCGCCTGTTATTTGAGGGTTCGAACCTAAACTGAACCATTGGTTTAAGCTGCTTTTTCGAGATGAGAGAGAGAAACGTCATTTGTGTCAGGAACTCTAGAAAACTCGTCCAGTCTGATCAGAATATAATACTGTTTATAATACATTTTTATTGTTTTTTGTATTTGCTATGTACTCGAAAATTTATTATGCGGTGACACAGATGTTCCCCAATGTATCATCGAAACGAGACGCGGTAATTCTGATACAAATTGCTATGAAAGGACAAGATATTTTCAACGCTGGGGCAGAGCAGAAGGGAATTATCTCCAAATGTAATAAAACAACACATACATACATACATACATACATACATATCTATCTATATATTATTATATAAATATAAAATATAGATATATATATATATTGAACTACACCCACATATATATATCTATATTATATATATATATATATATATATATATATATATAATACACATATATATATATATATTATTATGTATATCTATATTATATTATATATAATATATATATATATATATATAAACACACACACACACACAAAAAAAAAACTATATATAATCTATAATTGTGTGAATGCAATCCTAATACAACCTCAAGGCCTAAAACATGTTGAGAAAGCATGAGATAATTATAGTACTACTTGCATTATGATTTTTTACCCTAGACCTTATGCCTTGTAAAACCAGTTCTTTCTTATGCATAATTTTTCTCAACAGTTGTGGCTATGACTTCCCCCATACATATTTTCTGGGTATTCCATAACTCTGAATGAGAAAGTACTGAAGAAAGTGTATCATTAGCTGTAAACTTTAATGGTTGAAATCACAAATCTGAAAATAAATATGCAGTGGGGGACAGATAATGAGCTTAATGACACTATAATAAAAAACATGACAAGCCTTGATTTAAATTTTTGGATTTTTGATTATACATGTTATATAGATGTACTACTATTAACAGGAGTATGCCTAGATTTTACAATGAACAATACCTTGGGTGAACACTATATTGGTTAGTAAATGAATCCGTGCAGAATATATGATGTGAGTATGATATTTATGGAAGTATGAATAA